GCACCTGGGAGGTGCTGCTGGCCGGGCCCCCGGTAAAGTTGGGATCGTGGAATGCCGGAATGGCCGTGAATTCCACCCTCTACCATGGGCAGCGACATCTTCCGCTGTCCCAGCTTGCTCCAAGCCCCGTCCAGCCAGGCCTTGGTCACTTCCAGGAACAGCCACAGCTTTTCTGTGCCAAAGCCTCAGCACCCTCACAGGGAAGAATTTCTTCCCAGTTTTCAATGTAAATTTCCCCTCTGTCAGTTTGAATCCATTCCCACTTGTCCTGTCATTATTATATTCAAACTGTGTGTTATATCCCAGGTGTGTGAATTCCCTTGTATCCTTCAGTTTCCCCTGACAGCTCCTGCCTGCCATCCTGCTCAGCAATCCCAGGCGTGCTGCGGATCCTCTGCACGGCCTTCCAGCCCTTTCCAAGGTGTTTGTGGCAGCCCCGAGGGCAAGCTCTGGGGCACAGCCCAGCCCCAGCATCAGGGGCCAGTTCAGAGGGCTTTTCCAGCTTTAAGAGCTCCATGATTCTGATTTATGTGACCACATAACTTCCTGCTGAAAGGGAGCACTGACAAGTCTGGTTCCTTCCAGGGGCTGGCCTGGTCCCTCGCTGCCATGGCCATGCAGATGCAGCTGGAGACCAGCGCAGACACCTCGGCAGAGGAGGAGAGCTTTGGACCACAGCTCATATCCAGGTTGGAGGTAGGTGAGGAGTTACCTCTGCAAGAAGTTTTCCATAGATGCACTCACTGCTCTTTTTCCTAGAACAGAATCCTGTGATGGTTTGGGTTGGAAGGAACCTTAAAAGCTCATCCCATTCCATCCCCTGCCATGGGCAGGAACACCTTTCACTATCCCAGGTTGCTCCCAGCCCCATCCATCCTGGACTTGAGCATTTCCAGGCTCTCCACCAGGGCCTCACCACCTCCACAGGGAAGAATTCCTTACCCAACCTAAACCTTTTTATTTAAAAGCAAGGTGAAACTGAAAACTTTGTTACTAAATTCTTACTTGTGTTCTGTTAAAAAAACCCAACCAAACAAAAAACTCAGAAATACCCAAAAATACCAACAGGTGTAATTTTTCCTCTCTCCCTCCCTCTCTCTCTCCAGCAATGTGGCATAAATGCCAATGATGTGAAGAAGCTGGAAGAAGCTGGATTTCACACAGTGGAGGCCGTGGCTTATGCTCCAAAGAAGGAGCTGCTGAACATTAAAGGCATCAGCGAAGCCAAAGCCGACAAAATCTTGGTAAGGATGCCCTGGAACCTTAACCCAAGATATTCCACAGGTTTATTTCTGCTGGCTGAAAGTGTTGTGGTGAATTTGGAAGGTGTCCAAAGGGCAGTTAGGGGTGATTAGAGGTGTGACATGACTTGTGATGGGAAAAAGCAAAACGCACCAGGATAGGACTGAACTGAACCAGGAGGGGGACAAGGGGAGGATATTTCCATAAAACACACAAAAGGGATGTTGGAGCTTTTCTTGGAGCAGAATTTCAGTTCTGTTCAGAGGTACCAACTAGTGCAAGGTTATGAAATGTGCATGGAATGATACAGGCACCTCTCCACAAGACAGAAGATATTAATTACTAGGGGATTAACGAATGGCATTAACTCCTCTGGCACTGCTCAACTGGGTTTTCCCTCAGGCTGAGGCAGCCAAACTGGTTCCCATGGGCTTCACCACGGCCACAGAATTCCACCAGCGGCGGTCAGAGATCATCCAGATCACCACTGGCTCCAAAGAGCTGGATAAACTGCTCCAAGGTCAGCATTTTATTGTTTCTCTTCCCTGCTTAACCTCACTTATTGGGATGGGGTTTTCCCATGAACCATGTAAGGCAAGTCCTGGTTGGATGAAAAACCTCTAGGATTGCTCCTGAATAATTGCTTTTGTTTTAGAAGCTGCAGAAATAGTTTTTAGTCATGATGCAAGATCCAGAGCTGTCCATTTTTGGATGTTTCTGGTTTATTTAAGTCCATGATGCGTTTAGGGAAAACAAAACCAGGCATCACCATCTCCCCATTCCTCTGGTAATCTGAAAATGAGAACAAGTAATTTCAGCTCTTCAGCATCTTCAAAAACACCCATGAACTTCTTAACCACAGCATGAACAAACCTCATGATGACAAGTAATTTTCCCTCTGAGCTTTGAAACTTTCAGCCAAATTCAGTGTTTAACTGAGTCTCTGTAAATGTAATATTTTATGTGTGAGATAGATCCATAGATAAATAGATTATACATGTGGCATGTGACCTTTTGATTTTTATTAATAATTGTTATTGTTATTTCCCCTTCAGGAGGAATAGAAACAGGGTCCATAACAGAGTTATTCGGGGAGTTCCGTACTGGGAAGACGCAGCTGTGTCACACCCTGGCTGTCACCTGTCAGGTGGGAGGTTCACCTCATTACAATCCAATATTCAGACCCCACAGCCTTGGGATATTTGCTAATTTGGGCACTTCCTTTGACTTTCAAAGTGTTTATTGCTGTCTAGAGGTTTCTATTCCCTAAAATATTAGAGGCTTGGACTTAATTTGATCATTGAGTTGACTCCCTGAACTTCCCATCTCAGAGCTGAGCACCTGTCATCTTGTGTGGGGTCATGGAATGGTTTGGGTGGGAAGGGACCTTAAAGCCAGCCCATCCAGTTCCATGGGCAGGGACACCTTCCACTGTCCCAGCTTGCTCCAAGCCCCATCCAGCCTGGCCTTGGACACTTCCAGGGATCCAGGGGCAGCCACAGCTTCTCTGGGCAACCTGTGCCAGGGCCTCAGCACCCTCCCAGGGAAGAATTTCTTCCCAATATCTCATTGATCCCTGCCCTGTGTTAGTGGGAAGCCATTCCCCCTTGTGCTGGCACTCCAGGGTGACAGGGACTACAAAAGGAACGTGTCAGCAGAAATGGGGACCAGGGATCTTTCACTTTTCCCAGCTAAATGGGATTAACCACAATAACTTGGGATGTTATTTGTTGTATGAGCTCAGTGAGGGCATGTGGCAGTATCTGCTGTATTTATGGATGCTTTATTCCCTGTTCCTTCCTTTCCTTCTCCTTTAGCTGCCCATAGACCGCGGTGGCGGCGAGGGCAAGGCCATGTACATCGACACAGAGGGCACCTTCCGTCCAGAGCGGCTCCTGGCCGTGGCTGAAAGGTCAGTGCGTGGGAGACAGCAAGAGATGCACTCACAGCTCAGCTGGAAAATGTTTCCCACAGGTCCTGGAGGGTGATTTGGCAGGTGTTCCCTTTGGAAAGCTCTAGTGTTGCCATTCCTCTCCTCTCCTTGCTGCTCTTTCCCCAGAGCTCTCATGTCATTGTCCCTTGGCATGAGGTGGTTTCCCTGTCTTTTGCTACTGGGAGGGACTGGGAGCTTCCCAAGCAGCTGGGGACAGGACTGGCTGGATCCTGTTTGCTCTTCCTGAAGGGAATTTGATCTAATCCTGCTGGCTTCTCCTGCAGCAAGGACTGCTCCCATGTTCCCTGTCACCAGGGAATATTTAGCAGCCAAACAAACGAGAGGAAGTGAAATGATGTTTGCAGTAGGCACAGGTGTGTCTGTGCTGGCCATGTCCAGAGTGTCCTTGGAATCATTCAGGTTGGAGGAGCCCTGGGAGATCCCTGTGCACAACCATTCCCTGGTGCTTCTGAGGCCACCACATGTCCCCAAGTGCCACATCCACATGGCTTTGGATCCCTCCAGGAATGGAGCCTCCACTGCCACGGCTGGACAGCCTTTCCTCTGAGAGACTTCCCAATATCCAGCCTAAACCTCCCCTGGTATCACATGAAGCCATTTCTTCTTATCCATTTCAAATGGTTCCAATCATTCCATTCTCTTTTCATCACCACAGGTTGCATTTTTTCCATCTGCTTTTCTCTCTGCCAGGGATGTGAGTTTTTCTTCCAGTCTTTTGGCAAAGTTCCTGTCCAACTGCTATGGATGAAGTTGTCACTCAAGGTTCATCCCTTTATTTTCCCTGGTTTTGCAGGTATGGCCTGTCTGGCAGCGATGTCCTGGACAACGTGGCCTATGCTCGGGGCTTTAACACCGACCACCAGACCCAGCTGCTGTACCAGGCCTCGGCCATGATGGCTGAGTCACGGTAATTACACTGATTTCAGGGATTTTGCTCCCACATGGGATTAGCCTTTGACTCTCCAGGGAGCCAGCTCGCTCCATGGGCAGTCGGCTGTCAGCAGCACATCTTGCTGCTGGAATTCTGGGTGCCAGCAGCTGCCTCCAGCTGATGTGGCTGCACAAACACAGGGAATTCAGGGATCCTCAGTGCCAGCCTGAGGGAGCAAGATGGAAGCTCAGTTTAGAGCTGTGGTTAGAAACAGTGCTGATGATTTCCACGCTGCCGGGAGAGCTGTGCTGGCAGCTTGGCATTGGAAGCAGCACCCAGAGCCCTGCCTGCCCTTTGCAGGTACGCGCTGCTGATCGTGGACAGCGCCACGGCCCTGTACCGCACGGATTACTCGGGAAGGGGCGAGCTCTCCGCCAGGCAGATGCACCTGGCCAGGTTCCTGCGGATGCTGCTGCGCCTGGCCGACGAGGTGAGCGTCCCCTGGGCGTCATGGCGTGGGCTGGTGCTGGCCAAACAAACACCAGGCACCCATGAGAGCTGCTCACTCACCCTCCTCTACAGCTGGACAGAGGAGAGGAAATGGAATGAAGGGTTTGTGAGTTAAGGTAAGGACTGGGAAAAAACACTCTTCAGTTAGCAGCAAGGGAAAAGCAGGCTCACCTTAGAGATTTGAAGTGACATCATTACTAACAAAATCAGAGTAGGGTAATGAGGAGTAAAATAAGCTCTTAAAAAAACAGCTTACCCCCACTTCTCCCTCCTTCCCAGCTTTACCTCCTATGCCAATGGCACAGTGAGATGGGATTGGGGGATTTGGTCAGTTCATCCACCCAAGGCTTTTCCCACTGCTGAGGGAGGAAAGGTCCCAAGGGCTTTGTCTCCACCTCTGCTCCCAATGGTTTGGAGAGGCTGGATCCCACAGTTATGGACACCAGGACTGCCCCTGTGTCCTTTTCCCTGCTTTTCTGTTCTGATTGTGGGAAATAATTGGGTTTGGGTTGTTTCTCCTGCAGTTTGGCGTGGCCGTTGTCATCACGAACCAGGTGGTGGCACAGGTAGACGGAGCTGCCATGTTTGCTGCAGATCCCAAAAAGCCCATCGGAGGCAATATCATTGCTCATGCTTCCACCACCAGGTGAGACAAGAGATGGTCATATCCCACGAGCCTGGGCTGGGAATGTTTTTTGGGATTGGCCAAGTAGCTTTTACTTCTGGGGTTTCCAGTCTGTCCATGGCAGGCCCAGCCTGTGCTTCAGCTCAGCGCCACTCTGGGCCCTCAGTCCATGGGGAAATGAACGCCTCAGGCAGTTCCTACAGCTCTGTTTACTCCTTTCTGGATTAGTATGATTTTCTGGGAGTCCATCCTGACCTGTTTCCTTCCCCCTCCTGGCAGGCTGTACCTGCGGAAAGGCCGAGGTGAGACCAGGATCTGCAAAATCTACGACTCTCCGTGTCTTCCCGAGGCCGAAGCCATGTTTGCTATCAATGCCGACGGAGTGGGAGATGCTAAGGACTGAAAACTCCTTTTCTTGCCCTGAATCCCAGGACTCTGTGTCTGTAAGAGGCTCCTTTCCAGGTGGCACCTTAGGGATACTTCCCAAGGCAGCGGGCAGAGGAAGCTGTGCCGTGTCAGCCTGGGAAGCGTCGGGACATGCCGAGCTCAGCCACGGCTGTTGGGAAGAGATTCCCTTGGCTGCAGGCACAGGGGAGGGCCATGAGCTTTCTCAGCAACATTCCCAGAGCACCATACCCTGCGTGTTTCCCTGGATCCCACCGTGGTGCAGCAGAATCTTGG